AGAAGAGTTTCATATTTTAATAATTGTTTTTTTGAGTTTACTTTTAGGTTTATCATTTCTTTTGAATCACTTGATTCTGTTATTGAACTTCCATCGTCATAATAAGTACCATACTCTTTTCTATTATATTATTATTTTTTAGATGAATTTAAAGTTGATCTAGGTGGACTTAATTATATTTAAAAATTTTACCTTAAACTACGGTCTGCAACATGTTTAGAACCTCTTGATTCTGTTTTTCTAACATTAGGTCTTATGCTATCTTTTTAGTTTTACACAACCTTGGAAAAACTACCTAACTTATTTTCAAAAGTTTTTTTTGTAAATTTTGGAGTTTATTGTGTTTTTGATGACTTTAATCCTTTTTTACTTTTTTTTGATGATTTACTTCTACTCTGTTCTAGGCTTTTCAATTACCCTCTTGATTGGGATAATTTGCTCTACTTTCTACTTTAACTTTTCACTGATTTCCCTGATTTAGTAGATTTACGACTCTTTTTATCTGATGCTGGTGTTCTCATTCGATCATCCGTAAAACTTAAAAAATTTTTCTTTATTTTTCCAATTTTTTTTGCTAACTCTGTTAATTATGTAATTGTTTATGATCTTCCTGCAAATTCGCTTTATCTAACTTCTTCAAATAATTATTTTTATTCATTTTCCTTATCTTTTATCCATTATTATGTTAAACTTTAAGGTGGATTATTGATATTCTGAACTAAAGTTTTAATTTATTGTTGAAAACGACTCTCACTATTCCTTTAATGTTTTGAACTTTAACTTGTTCTAGCTAAAGACATGAAATTAATTATATTGTTAAAATTTGAATTTTATTATTATAATAATTCTTCTCAAATATTTATTGTTTATTTTCTCATTAAATATTTACTTATATTTTTTATGGAAGTAATTTAATTAAGATTTGATTTCTAAATCTTATGGAAGCAATTTCTAGCAATGATATTTATTTAAATTCAACCAACATTTTATTATTCTTTCAATATTTATAAGTTATTTGTATTATTAATAAAATAATTAATATAATAAACTAGTTATACATAAAGTAATAATACTTAAAAGATTAAGAACCATTACTTATTGAATGATATGATTATAAGTCGATTTTTAAAAAGAAATATAATTATTTTATACATTTGATTGAAAAAATCTGAGGTTAGAGTTAAAAAGGATTTATAAATTGAGATGCCCAAAAACTATTATAATTACAATAACTAAAATGAATTGGTACTTAGATATTCACCTGGTAAAATAAAAAAAATTTGCGAAATGGAAAAATAAATTAAATTAGTTCTTGTAAGTGCTTTAATTGACTTTTTTCCTTTAATTTTTATTTAAAATGTGTTTTAATTTGATAAACAGCTTAAATATTTTGTTGATAATTGTGAGAATTTCTTAGTCAAAAAATAAAAATTAATTTATACATTTTTATAATCTAATGAACAATTAAATGATTTCTATTGAATAATATTTCATTCTTGCTACATTTGCTCATTACTAAATCCATTTTTTTGAAGTAAGGATAAAACTTCTTTTTCATTGTAAGTTTTACTTTTCACCTCTTTTCCTTATTTACTAATGACAACAATTTCAATTTTAGATGGTTATGGAGATGATGTATCCATTGTTTTTACAAGTGCTTTTATTGCAATATCTAATCCCTAAAATATGATATAGTTATATACTTATTCTAAAGTTAAATTATCCTTATAATCTTATTTCAAGTAACTATTTGCAGCCAAATTATTTTTTCCAATTGCTGTAGCCTTCCAGCCAGCGTAATTTCCAGATGGATCTGTGCTAAATAATTAAAAGCCATTTTCTTTATCGTATCCTGCAAAAAGAAATGCAGTACCAAAAGGTCTTTATCCTCCTACTTAAGTTTTGTTTTATTTGTAATCACAAATATTTATAATTAATTATTCTAATCCAATGTTATCTTGAAACTAATATCTAAATAATGCCTAATGCTTTTACCTATGATTTGCTGCTGCCTCTCTTGCATAATTTATTAAAATATTGGCATCAGCTGTATGTCCTGAAACCACAGAAAATATATGTCTATCAATAGGATAAATCTTCTCAGAATGCTTTGAGTGTTCTAATAAATGTGACACTTCTTATTTCTCTGTTGCCAATATCATTCCCTCATTAGTTAAAACTCCAAGAGCTGATCCAGTTTAATTGATAGCTTCAATTGCATACTCTACTTATTTTAATCTGCCATCTGGGGTGAAAGTATTTGTTTTCTAATCGTATCTCCTTGACATTTAATTTTAATTTAAAATAATATATACTGGTGTTCAAATACAAATAATATCACAATAATCATAAATTTATATGATCTGAATTAAAAAAATAATTCCTCTTACCCTTATTTGTTCATCAATTCTTCTGTATTATTTTTTAATTATATCATCTCTTATTTTTTTATTGATATTAGACATTATCTATTCACAATTTTATCAATATTTCTAATTATACAAAGAATATTTTCTCCAAAATATATTGTTCTATAAATTTAATTGAAAAAAGATTTTTAACAAAAGTAATCAATACATTCATTAAAAATTGATGTCTTAATTACAAATCACTATGTTTCCAGTCATTTTAATTCACAAATCTTACACCGATTTCAGAGTTACCTCTTTATTATTTATGATGTTCAAACTAAACTTTTATCATATAGAAGTTTCATTTCTATAAATAAATTATTGAAACTTTTGTAATATTTCCTTAGGTTACTATAATATACAATTCTAATTGTAAAACAAAATTTAATTTTGTGACTGTTTTACAAAAAGAGATCCATTTTTTCTTAAAATAGGTGATGACAAAAATGAACTTTAAATATAACATAAATACAACTATATGCAAAAAAATATTTTTAATTTTATGATAAAAATAAAGAACTCTTATAAATTTTTTTTAGAAACTTGTAATATTTTTTAATTGTTTTTTCCTAAATATTTTAAATTAAGAAAGTCTATATAAAATATCAAAGTTAGAAGAAGAAGGTTATAAATAACCACCAGGTATGAAGAGAAACAGAAATGTATAACTAATTTATTATTAAAATAATGAATATAAAGTGATTGTATTATAAGTTTGTGGTTTGAAGATGATATATTTAACAGAAAATAACTTTAGAGTTTATAAAGACTTTAAAAGATTTATTGTATTATTGTACTTATTCAAAATAATCATAATATCAATCCTTAGGCTTCTTCTTAATTCTTAATTAATTTGAATGTCCGCACTTTCTTTTTCTGCAATTATGAGCTTTTGGTGGTAATCTAATAAAATTTTTGAATTATAGTACCTGGCATAGCAAACTCTGCAAATTTTTTTTTCAACGTTGTACTTTTTGGCTATAGCAGCAATTGTTGGTTCCATACCACCACCTCTTAATCTCAATACTAAATGAAGGGTCGATTCTTTTTAAATGTTATAATCTGAAAGAGTTCTTCCATCTTCAAGTTGTTTTCCTGCGAAAATCAATCTTTGTTAATCAGGTGGAATTCCTTCTTTATCTTAAATCTTAGCCTTGACAGCATCAATGGTATCTGAAGGCTCTACATCAAGAGTAATTGTCTTTCCCGTAAGGGTTTTAACAAAAATTTACATATTATTTTAAATTTTAATAAAATCTTTAATTAATTTTTATTTGTTTTTTGTGATCTCAAATTCAAAATTAGTTAGATTGGTCTAAGTTACTGCACTATTCTTCCTCATATTTTTGACCATTCCTAACTTTTTCTATATATTCAATTAAAAGAGGATTTTGCTTTAATTAATTTTTAATGATATTAGGAGATTTCTCATATAACTATATAAGCCCCTCTAAGCTATAGTTTTAATTTTCAAATTTTATTCCTTCAAAGCAAATGAAATAAGATTTTTAAGTTTATGGGCACTTAAAAATCATTTAATCATTTAGATTTTTTTCAGACCTAATTTTTTAAGAAACAAATGCTTACATTTTAGTAGTTCTACATTATTATTATGCTCTTTAGTTTATTTATGTCTTTTAAATTTATAAATACTCGATTTAATGGGGAAATAACTTGTTACTTTATGTTTCCAAAACCTTTATTGCTCCATCAACACTAAAAAAATAGCCTTAAAGATTTATTCCTTCTAAAAAAGAAAGACATTTCTCTTATGTTATTGGACAACAAAAATCAACTTCATTTTCTAGATAAGGATATTGATAAATTTATTTATAATGTTAAAGTTGTCTACTTAAAAAACAAAACTTACTTTTGTTTGATTGCTTCAAGTTCATCACCTGTGAAAACCTAATTTAATATTTCATCTGTTATATCTATATATGGTATTTCAATCTATTCTTTTGAATCAATATTATTAAAATTTAAGATTGTAATATTGTATATTCTTTAAAAAGCTGGCTCAAAGTAATCATTATAAAAGCAGTTTTTATTGATCAATTCTCTTAATTAATCTTTCAATACTACTATTTAAGATATTCTATTTGTATTTAATTTTATTGTCTATTTTTCTCCTATTATTTCACCAGAAAGTTAACAAAAGTTCGGTCCGTCGTATACGAATTAGAGATTTTTCGATTAGCAACATTCACTAATTAATTCTAAAATTTTTTTTCCATCAATTTCTTAAGGATTGTTAATCATCTTAATAAGCATTTCAGCCATTTATAATAGAAATTAAAATTAAAATTTAAATACTTAAATATAATTAAGTTTTATTCATTTTTTAGATAACAAAATTCTTGAAAGATGAAAAAGATAATAATTATTTTTGGACTTCATAGAAATATTTGAAGTACCTTTATTTATATAGTTTATTTCTCTTTAATATTAAATTAGATAAATTCTTTTTATAATATGAATTTACAGATAATTGAATTTTCCAAATGAATATTTAATAAATAAGATAAATATAAATCAGGAATTTAGATAGGTGAACTAATTTTGTTATTAAACAACATTTCCAAAGAAATTAATTCTTTAACTCTGTAAAAAATTTAAAAAGAAAGTAAATATAACAATCTCTCTCTTGATAGAAAATTTGAAGAGATAGATTTTAGAAAAAAGGAAAATTAATGTTGAAAACCTTAAGAAATATATAATTTTATTTGTTATATATAATTCTCAAATTACCTAGATTAATAATCATTTAGATAATCAAATGTATTATACCTTGAAACTGAGTTCGAATATTAAAATTTAATACGGCTTTAAATTGACATTATTTTTAATTATAATGTCTAATAAAAATAAAAAATAATTATATCGAATAGCTAAGATGATCATATAAAAAGATTATCAACCAAAAATAATAAATATTTCTCTTTTAATAAATTATAAGAATTGATCAAACTATGAATTTGAGAGCCAGAATAAAAATCTCTAATGAGGAATATAAATTGATGTTAGAATTATTTTTCATATTAGTCTGAATTTTCAATATTTTCAATAGCAATTTACTAGAAAAATGTAAACAAAAAGATAAATGTATAACTGAATTAATTTATTAGTGGAATATAAAATTATTTAAAAATAGCCCATCACTTATAATTCTTATGATCTTATGAAGAGAAATAAACAATAAAAAATTCCTATATAAGGAAATAATGAACTTGCAAAATTATCTAATACTTCCCTATACTTTAGGCAAATAATTTAATAGAATGTTGAAGAGCAGAATTATTATGAAATAAGGCATTTTATAAAAGATGAGAAAATAGAAAAAAATTCTAATAAATATAATGAGATTTTAATTCGCTGCATTAGAAAAACTTGGTAGTATCTTTCTTCTAGGAATCATACTTATTTACCAAAAAATTTAGATTATATTTTGAAGTTCAAAATATTTCAAAAAAAAATTTTCTCTTGAAATATATTGATATCAACAATTTATTATTTCAAAATAATTAATATTAAGTGGATTTCGTTTTTTATTGGGTTTGGGTATTTCATAGTATTTACAACTTTCAAAATTTATAATAGTTTAAAAATTTAATTCAAAAATTTTGATAATATGTTCTAAAATAAAAAAAATCATCAATATAATTTATAAAATAATTAGAAAAATAGAACAAAAATTCAAAAGAAAGTATGTCAAATTCTTTTAACCTGATATATTGATATTAAGTTTGATTTTTTAATAAAAGATCATAATTTTAGAGTCATTAAAAAAGACCAAAAAAGATTTCTTCACAAAAAAGAATATGAAATAGTAATTAAATTGTAGAAATAAAACTATATTTTTATGCCTTTAAAAATACATCTTTTTAATCATATCATTTATACAATACATTCATATTCTCCTTTAAATATTGAATTTTACATAATGAAACCCTTAATAAAATATTATCATAAATTCGCAATTTATTTCTCATTAAAAATAACAAATTTATTAACTAATCAATAATTATTTAATATCATAAACATTTTAAAAGTTAATTAGGCATTAATTACAAAAGTTTATATCAGTAACTAATTATATTAAATAATTTTTAATATCGAAAGAAAATTAAAGAATTTTTGCTTTTATGAATAAATAAGTTGAGTTTTTTTTAATGATTCGACAGGATACAAATTTAGAATTTAAAAAACAATAGTTTTAACCTAAATAAAAAAATTAAATATTTGTAGGGAAGAATACTCATATTATCAGATCAAAAAGACGAAATGTAAATAATAAAATAAATTTATTTTAATTTATTATGATGAAATCTGATTAAAATATTCATTGAATCAACAGCATCCACCTTATTTTGTCTATTTCTTGGGGTNGATGTTCTTATTTCCCTTGTTATTCCACGTTTTCTTATTTTTGCTTTCATATACCTCCATTTTTTTATCCAGTTTCTCTATCATCTTTGCTTACCTTCTCTTCAATGCATTTATTTCTGTTTAGTAGGGTGCTCTGTGAAAACCCGTTGAGTGAGCTAATAATGGTTAATTCTTTCCTCTTTTAGGGTTATTTTTAATCTCCTGTGTTACTATAAATTCATTCATAGCTTCAGTTTATTCATTTGAAGGTGATTTAGATTAACTCTTTTTTACTAAAATATTTAGTTCAATTATTCTTAATTGATCTACTTTCTAAAATGTTCTCATTTTAACTAAAGACAGAATTATTTTTATTTTCGATATTTGTTTGTTTCTGATATTATTATTTCTTAGTTTGACCAATCAACGCTTCAATTAAAAATTTTTATAGTTTCATGAAATCATTATTTTAGTTCAGTGTATTTGTGAGAAATAAATAGTCTTATGAGGTTAATTGTTAGGATTTTAGTTTTTAATTGTTGAAAATAGGGGGATTGTTTACCAAAAAAAACGTGTTTGCACACATTTAAGAACTCATATTTAAATACAGAATCAAATTTTTAATTAATTTTAATATTTATTTTCCAACATTTGCTGTATGTTTTACAAATTAGTAATATTATTTAGGTTCGTAACATCATTTATCCTCTATTTATGTTAACTTGGGTACTTTAAATTTAACTACTTATATATTATTTGGAATGTTACAACATATATGAATTAATTCCCAAATACTTTTCTTTTATTTTTCCTGATAAAACTAATCTATCTTTTTCTAATGAAAGAAAGGAAGTCCAGACTTCTAAGGGATTTCCACTTTGATTTTATAAGTTTATGCTCTGATGAGTTCAAATTATGATAAAATTTTATTAAATATTTCTGTTCGATGTTACTTTTAGAGGCATACTTCATTAGAAGTTTATCATTTCTTGTTTTTTATCCATTAATATCCTAAATCTATCGATTCTATCAATCATCTGTTTATTGACTTCTTATAGCAGTAATATGTGTGTGCCATAAGTTCTAGAAATTTCTATCTGTTGCCAAACATATGTATCTTGTGTGATTTCCATGAGACATTATATATATATTTCTGTTAAGAATTTTATCTCTCCATCAAGATCAAACAATCCTACATGGCTTTCCTCTTGATAAATCATCGAGATGGTTAAATCTAACTTGGTCTCCTTTACCTCTATTTATGTCACCAAAAGACTAATGATAAAGACTCATTTATTGTCTTAGGACCAATTTTTGATAAATCTCTCATTGTACCCTACATCTACATGGATGCTTTACTTTTTTAAAGATATCAGACTTCCAAGCTGATTTAAATTTACAAGCATTCTAAAATGAATAAAAAAGATATAGATAATATTAATAATTCCAATTAAGGAGATTTAAATATATAGAATAAAAAAATAAAATAAATCATCCTTTTTAAAGAGTTTAAAATTAAATACAACTTGAAAATAATCTAGAAATCTTTAAACAAAATAAATCTCATTAAAATAGAAAGTGTTAGGAAGTGTATAAAATTAAAAAATAATAATTCCTCATAATAAAGCTATCAAATAAATTTATCAAAAATATTTTATTAGATTTTAAAAGTAAAAAGCATCAAAATTTATAGTTTTTAAATTATATTATGATGAAATCTGATTAAAATTCATTGAATCAGCAACATCCTCCTTATTTGGCTTATGGTTTTTGGTTCTATTTGGTTAATGTCACAGTGGTTGGGAAAAATCTAAAAAATGAATAAAAAAAGAAAGAATTACATTTCTTCATCTTTTTCCTAGCTTGCAGCAGCTTTAGCAATATCTTAGAAAGCTTATTCAATATTTGTTGCGTCTTTAGCTGAAACTTCAAAGAATTGTATATTTCCATGTGATTTACACCATTATTATGCTTTAGATTCTTAAACTTTTCTTTCTGTAGCTTTATCTAATTTATTTCCTAACACAACAAAAGGAAAATGTTCTGGATCTTTTGGTTAACCTTACATCAAAAATTCATCTCTCCAAGAATCCAAAGAATCAAATGATTTTGGATTAGTAATATCGTAAACTAATACACAACAATCAGCTCCTCTATAAAATGCACCACCTAATGATTGAAATCTCTCTTAGCCTGCAGTGTCCCAAATCTAATAAAAATATTTTAATTTCAACATACTTAAAGAGTTACCATTCTATCATCAATCATTACTTCTTTTGCCATAAAATCTGCTCCTACTGTAGCTCTATATTATTATGTGAACCTTGCATTGACATATTAATTCATCAATGATGTTTTTCCTACTCTAAAAGATATTTACAATGGAAAATTACCCTGAATCACCTAAGATGATGATTTTAAAAAGTTGCTTCTTCTTGCTGGCCATGTGGAATTAATATAATTAATTATTTATTTATATTACAAATTTCTGATTTTATTTTTAAATTCTTAAATATCGTATTTTATAAGAAAACAAATCTTAAATTCATTTTAATACTCACTTCTTTATAGCCATAAAAAATATACAATTATACATTAAGTATTTTTAATCTAGTTTCGAATGATTATAAGTAGATTCTTTCATTTATTCAAAATAAATCTCAAATCCTTTTTATTTTATATAATGTTTAAGATCCTCATAACTTAATTTTTTGCTTGTTTATTAAAAAGACTCTATTTTACAATATTTAGAAATCTTATTTTAAAAAGAAAGAATAATTCCTAAAAAAAATAATTTATTTTATACTCTACTACTTATAATTTTTAATTTTAATATCTTCTATTTATTCGAAATGATGTTGATGAGAAAGTTTCTATTAGCTGAATTTTTATTAATTCTTAAAATGAATATTATAAATTATCTACAATAAAAACAAATTAATTATTTA